GTGTGTGGCCAGCTCAGCCCACCAGGGGGCGGGCTGGCTGGCATGTGGTGCTGGGGGATTGAACCGCGGTCCCTGTGCTTTGCCAAGCTTGTTCTAAGTAGGTGCTTTAGACCACTGAGCCATCTCTCCAGCCCCAACATAGCCTAATTCTAAGGCTTTTTGGTATTTTGCAAAAATGTTACCATAATGCAGGATTGATTGTCACTTTGTGACTTTCTTTTATGAGTTTTGACTTTGAAAGTGGAATCAGACCTCATTTGGCACCTGTGGCAGCCAGGTGTATCTCTAACCCTTCCCAACCTAGGTGCTACTGACCTGACACCCTCACTGCCGAGGGTGGGATTTCAGGAGCCAGGCAGGGCCAGCCCAGGACAAGGGCAGGGAAAGACAGTGTCCCATGAATCATGTTGTATAACAGTGCCCCTGGGTTGGGGTGGCCAGAAGGCAGGTGGCGTTGGGTGGTGTGCGGAGGACATAACAGCTGCCAGCTGACCGTGGAGCCCGGCTTCCGTAGGCACTGAGGCTGTCTGTCTGCACAGTCCACGTTGGACTCTGCAGAACTCTCCAGGAGGTTCGTCCACTGGAAATGAGCCAGCTTCTTTTGAGGGAGGCAAGGTCAGTGGACCTTATTCTCTCTTGACTTTAAATAGTTCTTATGGGGCTGGAGAGATAGCTCGGAAGTCTAGGCACCTACCTGGCAAGCACAAGGACAGGGTTTGATCCCCAGTACCGCATGCCATGCCAGCCCTGTGCCAAGCCAGCCACTGAAACCAGACACACCTGTAATCCCAGCACTGGGAGGCTGAGACATGAGGATCACTAGGAGTCCCAGCTGTGTAGTGAGACCCTGTACCAAATAAATGATTTTTAAAAATTTTAAATATTTCTTGTGTTTTTGTTTTGAGGGAAGGAGGGGAACATAAGCCTGAATCTATGGGTCAGAACCCTAAGTAGAGATGTGCATCCCCTAAAAGGGGATTTTGTTTAAAATAAGCACCTTAAAGGGATAAATTCCTTTAACTCACTAAAATGGTTCCAGTTCCATAGTGATTAAATTGCTGTAAAAGTTTGGATTTGTGTTTTAGGACTTTATGGTTAAAAGCTGCAACATAGCATGGGAGTTGCTGTGTTGGAGAAATGAAAATTATAACATGTAAACCTTTGTCGGGGGGAAAAAACCCAAAACACGCGAGGTACCACATGGGTTGGGAGTGTGGCTCAGTGGTAGGGCTTGCCCACAGCCCAGTACCAAGGGGGAAAGGCTATCAGATATTTTTTTTCCTTTATAAGACTATTTTTTTGGTCTAGAATTCCTGATTAAATAAGGGGTGAAAATATTTTCTCTGGTGATTATATTTTTATCTTAACTTTAACTAGTTCCATTGGGATTGTTTTGCATTGCCAAACGTGCTGAACTTGGTTCCTTTTATTTTTGTTTCTTGTGTAAATTTTGCAAACTGATTTCCCCCCTTCTCCTTTTACAGAGCCAAATGTTGCAGATTTTCGCAGATCTAGAGAGATGGTGGTTTTAGTTTTTGGAGCAGCACTGTAAAAGTAACCCATGCTTGTGAAAACCCAAAGGGGTCTGATTAAAATCCTTCTGCTTTATCTCCATTTATTCCTTTTCTCAGTTTGTCACCATTAGTGATTCAGTGTATTAATTTCCAAACCAAGAGACTTTGGAGGGGGATTAAATGGAGAACATTGTAACCATGTGCTCCCTGCTGTAATCTAACCCTAGGGCTTTTTTATTAATGAGCTTCAACGCCGCATCCCAGCCCCCTTACCAGTAAAGGCTGTCTTCTGTGGTCCACTGGCATCCTGCTCTTCTCAGAGGCTAGGAGCTGCCTGTGTGGTTATGGCCACAGCAGCAAGAGTGACTTAGGTAGGCAGAGGTGATGGTGGGCGGTGGCCCAGGTGGAGGTCTCTTCCATCTAGCTGTCTTCATTACTTAGCCTGTCTTTTTAAAGGAGAGCAGAACTTGATGCAAACATGGACAGTTCTGTGCTGACATCGTAGCCATTCACCATGGCCGCGGAGCCAGCCAAGGGCATTAAGGTTCGGCTCGGGACACCTGCCCAGTGCTGGGCTGCTGCGAGCTCCACTACACACAGGGCCAGTGTTTGGGGCCTCTTCCCGCCACCATTCATCCTTTTCTGTCTGTGAAAGGAAAGCAACTGATACGTAGCTTTTGGCCAGAATGAAAGCTTTACTTGCTTTGCCCCAGGCACTAGTTATAAATACACTTGTCTTCACTATGAGTTGGGTGCTCCTGACCTAGTCGTTTTAGAGGCAAGAAAACTGACTACTCAGAAATTTAAATGACTTGCCCATTTAACTTACCATTAAGGTGACATCCGGAAAATTTGACTCTGCAAACATTTTTTCAGAAATGCTACATTTTTTTTGGTCTGGGGTGTGTATGTGTGTGCTAGTACACGGTCTACAGGGTCTCACTATGTAGATCAGAGGGCGCCACCAGGCCCAGTCTAAGTCACCGTCTCACAGGGGCGGGGCCAGGCCACTGCGGCTGCCTAAGCAGGTGCTTTAAGCCGCTGAGCTATTTGGCTGGCCCTGTTTGTTTTTTGACACAGGGTCTCACTATGTAATTTTGACTGGCCTTAAAACTCATTATGGGGCTGGGGATATAGCTCAGGGTCACAGCACCTGCCTGGTAAGAACAAGGTCCTGAATACACACACATAAAAAAACCAATGGTAAACTAAGAACAAGGTCCTGAATACACACACAACCAATGGTAAACTCGTTATGTAGCCCAGGCTCACTAGGAGCGTCAGCCTCCCCAGGGCTGAGATTACAAGCAAGCCACCACTATGTCTGGTTCAAATGCTACATCTTTTGGTACCACTTTGTCTGAAATACTAGACACTGTCTTCTCCCTTGGTAACTAGCAAAGGTCTACATACTTAAAGGGTCCTGTGTTCTGATCCTCCTGCATCTCATTAAAGTCATTTTCCTTCTGCTATGCGTACCTCCTTTCCAGTCCAGCGGGCAGGCCACCTCAGCTGTTTCCTACCTGGTGCAGCTCCCTAAGCTTCTCCCCCTGTCCCTGCACCCATGTCCTCTCTCTTGTGCTCTCCCCTCCTCCCCCAGAGTCAATGCGTGCGTCGACGTGGTGCTCTCAGGTGTGAAGCTCCTGCAGGCGCTGGGCCTGAGTCCCCGGAGTGGGCGAGACCATGCGGTTCTGCGCTCAAGGAACGACCTAGAAGAAGCCTTCGTCCACTTCATGGGGCAGGGAGCAGCTGCCGAGCGTTTCTTCAGCGACGGGGAAACCTTCCATGACATTGCCCATGTCGCATCTGAGTTCCCTGGAGCCCAGGTGTGTCCACCACTGGCAGGGGATTGGGGCAGGGTGGGAAAGGAGGCCTTGCACAGTGACTGCTGGAAATCCAGTTCTGTGATGTTGCGTGTGCATTTTTCACGAAACCCTCTCTGATGCCTTCCTAACTGTGCTGTTTCTAGTTGGTTGAATTCAGCATGCACAAATAAAGCATGTTTACTAAAACTGGTTTTGGTGACCTCTGGTTCACCTATTAAATTCCCTTTTTGTGGTGTAAACCTGTCATCCTGACACAGGAGAGGCCGAGGTAAGAGGAGCGCAGTAAGCTCAAGGCCAGCCTGGAACACATACAGTACCTGTCTCAAAAGCCTAGATAAGGTCTTCCTTTCTTCACATTGTCCAGGGAACTGTAGCCTCCTAACCCAGTGGGCTTGCAGTGCATGTTTGTGATAACATATAGTCACCTTGTACATGGTGAGTCCCCTAGTCCCCCCCTCCCCCGCTGCGACATGTGCTCTCAGCCTCTTTGAGCTAATTTTGCATTGGTTGGTTGAGCATTTTCACCTCAGCTTCTCTCCATCCCTAGCTATGTTTTTATTTTTAATTTTACTTAAATTTTAAAGTAGGGTCTCAGTGTGTAGTTTAGGCTAGCCTTGAAATCATGGCAATCCTCCTCCCTCAGCCTCCCCGAGTGCTGGGATTTTTTTTTTTTTTTTTTTAATGTAATTGGTACAGGGTCTCACTACACAGCTCAGACTCCTGGTGATCCTCCTGTCTCAGCCTCCCCAGCATTAGGATTACAGGCATGTGCCACCACGTGCCAGGGGCAGGGCCGGTGTGGCATGTGATGCCATGGATTGAACATAAGTCCCTCAGTCCCTGCATTTGCCTAAGCAGGCACTTTAGTCCACTGAGTTACCTCACCAGCCCTGGAGTGCTAGGACTGTGGGTGTGTGCCGTCATGCCTGGCTAACAAGAGAGTATACTTGTAACCTAATGCTCAGAATCTTTGTGATCATGGTATTACTTGCCATTTTCCTAAATCCTCCCTTCTGCTTCATAAAGAAATTAAAAGTCTACAGAGGGGCCAAGGAGACAGCTCAGCAGTCTAAGCGCCTGCCCTGCCTGGCAAGCACAAGGACCCAGGTTCCATACCCAGTAACAACTGGGCGTGGTGGGGTACACCTATAATCCCAGAGCTGGGGAGGCTGAGACAGGAGGATCACTCCAAGTCTGAGCTGTTTAGTGAGACCCTGTACCAAATACATAAATGAAAAATTTTTTAAAAATTTTAATTCTAGGGCTGGTGAGATGGCTCAGTGGTCTAAAGCACCTACTTGGAACAAACTTCACAAAGCACAGGGACCGCGGTTCGATCCCCCAGCACCACATGCCAGCCAGCCCTGCCCCCTGGTGGGCTGAGCTGGCCACACACACACACACACACACACACACAAATAAATAAATGTTTAAAAAAAAAAGATTCTGGTAATTTCTAAATAAAAATGTTTAAAAAAAAATTTAATTCTACAGAAATTCTGCTACTTTTCAGGGGCATTCCAAGTTGTTTGCCAATATCTGTAAAACCTAAAGTGTGTTACTGTTGTGTATACTACTGCCACTGCAGTTGAAATCTTTGCAGACCTCCTTAAGCTAAGGCAGGTGGCCTGATAAATGACAATTCATGGCCATTATAGGAAAAATCTGGTGCACATTTTGGAGCTGTCTTAATATTTCCCCCAAGAGCTTTGAGTAAATTTCTCTAGACTTCATAGTTAAATCATGTAATTAAGCCTGTCACATTAAAGGGCCACATTCCAGCCTGGCTATCACAGAGTGTTACACATTTATTTATAGAAAAGCATCCCTGTCCCACCTGACCCCAAGGGTTGTCTGCTCAAGCCTTGCAGAGGGGTCATAGATTTGGCTGCCTGGTCCGTGCCCGCCCCTGGGTGAGGACTAGCAGACCCTGTCTGTGCAGGCAGAACTCCCCGCTGGGCTTCTTACCTTTTAGAAGCAACAGTAGAGGCCGGGGAGATGGCTCAGTAGAATAGGCGCTTGCCTGGCAAGTGCAAGGGCCTGAGTTTAATCCCCGGTTCCACAAAAAAAAAAAAAAAAGCAACAGTAACTTGCTGCCTAACAACAGAGAACAAACACCAGGCTCGGGGCCTCTCTCGCCCAGGCTGAGCCACAGGGTGCTTGGAGCTGTTCCCTTCGAGGATTCCCTCCGTGGCAAACCTTTATTTCCCAGCACGTCCGCGTGTTTCTTCCTTTCCACCAATGTATAAGACAGCTGCAGTCCTGCCCCAAGGAGCCAGGGACCTACCCAGAGACTCAGAGTTCAAGTAGAGGAGGGGTGGATTAGGGGCTTGATTAGTTAGGGGTGGGGAGGGACCTGTCTTCTTGCCTGGGGAGGGCACCATGGTGGCCAAGTGGCTAGTGCGGGGGGAGGGAAGGTGGCTGCACCTGGGGTGGAGGTGCAGAGAGCAGAAGGGCTGGCAGGTGTGGCGGCACCAGGAGATGGCAGTAGAAAGGAAACCTTGGGCCCGGTGGAGGAAGGCCTTGTGGCGCCTCACTGTTCAGCCAGGTGCTGTGGCACTCATCTGTCATCCCAGGAGGCTGAGGCAAGGGAATGGCCACAAGTTGGAGGCAAGGCTGGGCTATGTAGCAAGACTTTGTTTCCAAAAAAAACCTTTTAAGATTTTAGAGTATTCCAGTAGTAGAACGTTTGCCTAGCATGTGCAAAGTTTGGTTTGATCTGAAAAAAGTTTATCTATTGGACAGTTTTCAGGAGAGTGAGCTAACTGTAGGCATACTTTGGAGGATGAGACCTCAACCCGCTTTCGTGTTTTCTCTCCTGCTCTGGCTGCCTAGAAGCTTGGCCGGAGAAGGGGTCCTACAGATTTCCTAGTTAACATTTATGTTCTTCGCCTATGACTCACTGTTTGCTTCTGCGTCTTATTAATGTCTTTGTCCTTTGTTGAAAGTCACCTCAAAATGTTTTGGGGAAAAAGACTGCACGATGAGAAATTATAAAGCCTGGCTGGTGAAACTGTTGAAATGACTGGCTAATAGCCTTGAATGTTTTACAGCACTACGTAGGAGGCAATGCAGCTTTAATCGGACAGAAATTTGCAGCCAACTCAGACTTGAAGGTAGGTTACATTTCCTGATTAAAATTCATGCCTTTTGCTAATGTTTTAATACCTTTATTGCATTGAATATTTATTTTTTGACTCAGTTTGTGGATCACCGCCTCATGTGCCCTGTTATCAGGGAGCAGTTAGTGGGAAGCAGTTGAAAGGGTAGTTAGTGACTGTCCTCAGTGTGCATGATGCTGTGAAGCCACTGGGCATGGTAGGTGGCACTGTTACTGTCCTGACCTTTTCTGCAAGGACTCTTGAGGCACAGAGACATTCACGGTCAAGGAGCCAGGGACCAGGACTTGGGCCGGCATGGCTGACATGCTTAAGGTTGGTGTGTTGGTGCCCCTCAGCCCACAGGTGAAGACAAGAGCCACCGGATGTGAGCTGGTAGAGCAGAAGTGCCTTGCAATCCCGAGCCGTGTGTCTAAGTAGAATTAAAGCTCATCACTGTTCAGAATAAGAACTGAATACACCAGTGATGGCAAACTGTGGCAGACTTGTGGTCCATGTGCCACTCTGGGCACACAACACAGAGCCCTCTGTCAGCACATGAGCCAACTTACCCCAGCAGCCAAGCATCGGATAACAGGTGTTTTCTAAACTAAAGCCTCCATAGTAGCTGAGCATGGTGGCACACACCTGTAATCCTAGTGCTCAGGAGGCTGAGGCAGGAGGATTATTGTGAGTTCAAGACCAGTCTGGATTGGGCCGGGAAGAAAGATAGCTCAGTAGAATAAGCACTTGGGGGCTGGTGAGATGGCTCGGTGGTCTGGGGCACCTACTTGGAACAAGCTTAACAGAGCACAGGGACCGCGGTTCGGTCCCCCAGCGCCACATGCCAGCCAGCCCCACCCCCTGGTGGGCTGGGCTGGCCACACACACACACACATAAATTAAAAAAAAAAAGAATAAGCACTTGGCTGACAAGCACAAGGTCCTGAGTTTAATCCCCAGTACTGAAAAAAAAAAAAAAAAAAAACCAGCCTGGGCTATAAAGTAAGCTCAAAGCCAGCCTGAGCTGCATAGTGAGACCCTGTCTCAATAATCAATTAATCAGACCAAACTCAGCATTCAGGCCTGATGAGTGAGTGGGTTTGGGTTGGCAGCTGGGCACTCCATCTCTAGTGGGTTCGCCCTCACTGGAGTGAGCAGTTCCTTTTGCTGGGAGCACATGAGGTCCGTGGGGCATGTGGAGGTTGTTGCTGTTAAGCTGCAAAGTGACTGAGGAAGGACCAGATCAGCTGGACAAGGAGCACATCTCTGAATCCTACTACAGGGGAGCTCAGGCTGGGCTGGCCAGGGCGGGAACAGAGATTTAACCCAGCTGGTTCTGGGTAGATGAACTGGAGGGGTGCAGAATGGCGGTGGCTGGTGACAGCAGAGTAGGGAACCATGACCAGTGCTCTGATTTGGGGGTACAGCAGAAAAACAGAAAGTTGGGCTGAGAAGCAGAAGATGAATTCAGTGATAATACTGATGTGCGTAATATCAGGGGGAAAATTCATACAAAACTGTGTGAATTATTTAGAGTATATCAAGGTGTCAACAACTACATGTTGGTAAATGATGAAATATTAGAATGTAAAGTTGATTTTTATAGTCATTGTTCTTAAAGTAGTAATTACTTCTAAATAGAGAAGATCAGAAATTGCAGGGCTGACCTTTGGAAACTTTACCAGCTAATGGAATAAGAAGAGATCAATCATAAGATCTTTAGAGAAAGCCCAGGCCATCTGGGGGTTTTCCTAGGCCCTTCAGTCCTCTCTCAGACCCTGAGCAGTAACTCTGACCTCGGTGGGGCAACACCCTGGAAATTGTCCGTGACCTCCCAACTGGCCAGTCTAACAATTTTAGGATTTTAAAGGTAGGAGAGAGGACAATAGTCAGTGACGGAGGAGGGATTCGGTGCCACACTCAGCTGTGACCTCACCACCCTGCACCACTCTCTCAGAGCTGAATTTTCCAGAACTCTTCCTGGTATGCACCAAGAGACCATCTGAGGGCCGCTGGAGAGTAAGTGGAGGTGTTTCTTTTAACAAGGATAGGTATTTTCTAACAATAGCAGCAATACTAATAGGTAAAGCACTTACAGTCTGAGCCTTAGTCCAGGCTTTACATAGACATGTGGGCGGGTGGATGGATGCATGCATGCTCCTTTGATCCTCACAGTGCCCTTTTAGTATTCTCAGTTGAGATAGGAGACACCCACGGGTAGAGATGTTAAAACTGCCAGGTATGATGGCGTACATCGGTAATCCCAGCACTCGGGAGGCTGAGGCAGGAGGATCACTGTGAGTTTGAGGTCAGCCTGGGCTACACAGTAAGTTCAAGGCAAGCCTATCTGTATAATGAGACCCTGCCTCAAAAGAGAGAAGTTAAACCTGCTCAAGGGCACACATCTAACTGCCAAATAGGGCTGGAATTGATCCAAAGGAGCCAAGCTCCACAGTCCGTACCCTTAAGAGCAGAGCTGTGATGGATTTCGGAAACAGACCCTGGTGAATGCTGTATAGGAGAATTGAGTAGAGTAGGGAAACAGAGGCCAGGAGAGAAGTAGTGCCTTCTAGAACAATCATGAGGACTAGGGAAGAGTTCGCCTACCATGTGAAACTGGTGGGATTAGCCAAGATTTAAGAAGAGTTGTTGACTCTTGATGCTATTGTTAATGTGTTTCTTTTTTTCTTTTTTCTTTTTTTTTTGTCTTTTTGAGACAGAGTTTCACTATGCTGTTCAAGCTGGCCTTGGACTCAGTTTGTGGCTCAGGCTGGCTCAAACTCACATCAATCCTGCCTTAGCCTCCTGAGTGCTGGGATCATAGGCCACATGCCTGATGCTTTTTTATCTACTGATGTGATTGTGTGCGTTTTTTCTTTTTTTTTTTTTTTGGTTGGTTGGTTGGGCTTTTTTAGTTTAGTTTATGGTAACTGCACTGATTTCCAGTGTTAAACCAAACTTGCATCTGGGATAAACCCTGTTGTTTTCCTGAAATTTTTTATTTTTAGTGGTTTTGTTTATTCGGTGCAGGGTTTCACTGCACAGCTTGGACTCTGGTGATCCTCCTGACTTCTGCCTCCCTAGTGCTGGGATTACAGGCCT